CGTATGAATTCTATCAAGTCGTCTTCTTCTATGTCGTCATGTTCTGCAATGCCATCTTCAATCACATGAGCTTCATGAGTAGAGCTACTTGGACGATTAGAGTCAGATATCACTACGGAACAGTTATACACCGGCATAGCACTATCTGCTTCCCTTTCAGCTTCCATAGATGCATTGGAAACTTCGTGATGAGGTACAATACTATAATTGGCACTATCCGTCCGATTGTGAAAAGAACTCTCCTCTGCATCTCTAGTCATTCTATCTCTTGCATCAAACTGAGCAAACTCGGAATGATAGGAAGTGCTATCAGGTCCTAGACCAAGATAATTATCTTCCAAGTTAGTGGTTATGGTTACATTTTGTGCAGCAGAAAAACGCTGTGCTTCTAATGTTGGTCGTTCAATGGGATTTGAATCTCTCGCTTCTTGTACGTCTCGAACGTACTCGTATATACGTAAACCAAGAGCTGGTGTAGAACTTACTTCTGAAACTACCGAAGTAACATCATTATTATTGTTATTATTACTATTATTATTATTATTATTGTTGTTGTTGTTGTTGCTGCGATCATTCAAATAAGATATTCTACTGGAACGTCCTGTACAAGAAGTAGTGTCATGTTCACTATTCACTTCACCACAACTACTCTCTACTGGACGTTGAATATTCGAATTGAATATCGCCTCGGAAGAATTTGCAGCTCGGTCACTAACTCGTCTCTTACTTCTCGATCTAAGTTCATACCTACTTCTACCGGGTGCTCTTTCTTCTCCTATCTGGTCGGTCATAGAGTCATTTCTTCTCTCTATCTGCTTTCCAACAGGTTGAATAGAATTTTCAGCTTCAATATGAGTTGTTTGACTTGTTCGATCTTGTGCTTCCGTTTCTTGACGAATCATATTTCGATATATTCGCTTTCTAGATCCTTTCCATGCTGCACCACTGTGGTGTGAGTTGATTTCATTTTGCCTAGAAACAGTTTGACCTTCCCTACAAGCACCTGCCATCGTAACAGAGCCTCCAGATTCGTGCGCTCTCCAAGTCGTTCTAGAAATGGCTGTTTGATGACTATTTCCATTTGCTTCATCCGTATTAGGGTTGGTTCTTTTGCGTCGACTAGCACGATGAGGTCGCTGATTGACTATATTACTAGTCTGAGTACATAGACTTCCTTCATTGAAATCTTCCATATATCCACTTAAATGATCAAACAAATAGATATATTCTCCTGAATAAGAAGCCAGGATCTTCCTTCCACTGGAATCATATGAAATTCCGGTAATATAATGATAAGAACTGTTCCTCGAAGACACCCTCAAATGGCTCGGACAAAAGACGGAAACTGATTGAGAGACAGGACAAGACATTCTTCTATCCCATAGCCTCACATAAGGATCACTTCCAGCAGTTACAAAATACCAAGGCTGCATAGGATTCAACGCCAACGAAAAGAATTCCACTTTACTCGCCATAATAGCTGACACAGAGTTGGGTGTTCTCGAAAAAGTGCTCTTCCTACTAGGTCTTAAATCCACCAAAATGTGGCTACAACTCGAGCTCCTCGTATTTCGACACTTTTGACGTTGTCTCAAGTCAAAGCAGCGCACTGTACCATCTTCAGAAGCTGTTATCACCACGTTGGGTGAATCTTCCTCCGTCACAAACTTTTTGACTCTGTCTGTATGGCAGCTGATAGGTCTCACTGTCTGCTTCTCAAGGTTGGAAACTCTCACTTGACTGTCAGCGGCACAAGAAACAACACAATTATCTCCTGTTAAGGGCATGAAACGGGCACAGAATATATTTGCAGTGTGTCCCGAGTCCCAAGATCGTAAAAGCTTCTTTCTCGACACATCCCATATCTTCAACTTGGTATCGTCCGAACCTGAGACCAATAAACTCCCTTGCTGGTTCCACTGTACACTATTCACGCAGCCGGAATGTGACTCTAAACAAAGTACTTAGACAAAAAAATCCTAAGAAACAACAATTGAACCCTGTACCAAGAGCAGCTTCCAGTTTCAGTCTTCGAAGAAAGCATTCCATTCCTTGAACTTCTTTCATAAACTTTTCGGGTGAATATACAGAGCTGCCACCATTTTCTACTACAAGTCCTACTAAAAGTATAAGTTTTTATGAATATTTTCATGAAATACACACAACCCTGACGACTTGATAAAACTTGTAAAGGATGCATTCCTGTCAAAAAGGAATTCCCAAAGCGAACAATGAACAGAATGGAAATGAATTTTCAAATGCTTTATACTTTTTTGGGTAACTTGTTAAAACAATTGCCTTCCCCTAGTAAAACCCTATTCACATAAATATATGTATATATGTGCAAAAATTTAGCCCCGAGTGACAAATACCATACTTGGACATTCTACCAAGTGCTTTTTGAAAGTATCGGAGATCCTAGAGGAACAGCTGGCTCCCAGCACAGAGAAGATTGCTAATGTTACGATATGCCAAAATGTGACAATTCAATTTTTGACATGTGGCTCTTATAAAAACTAAGTTTTCCCTTGTTCTTAACAAAAACTCGTACAATGGCCACCATGATTAAAAGACAACATTTCCTGTATAGAAGTAGGAGAACACAAACGAATGGGAGTGGTCGCAGTCTGAGAAAGTTGTTTCTCAACAAACCAAGGTTGAAATAGCTCGACTTGCTTTGATATATATTCACCAAAGAAATTGTTGTCGTCCGTCCATAATATATGAAGACTACAGGCATCCTCTACGAATGGTTCTCCAAACAAACCGAAGAGCACACAGTAAACGGATGCTGCTGCAAGACAAGATGGCGAGCAAAGAAAACAATTCTTGTCAATCATGGCTCGATTGGCAAGATACAGAGCAAGTTCTCCTATCGCTTGCGACTTTATACCGTATGTCGATTTCTGTAACTTATCATTGCATTGTTGGCACCATTGGAAAAGAAAGAACCGAATAAAATGAATCACATTGCAGGTTAAGATGTTCCATTCTAAAACTTCCAAAAGTATCTTTTCCATGGTTACTAGAGTTTCACATGAAAAGGATTGTCGACAAAGATATACCAATTCTTCTGCACCGGGAACATTTTCTTCTCTTTCTTCTTGCTTCCCTTTGGAACCTTGAGTGAAACGTCCAAACTAAGTTGAAGACGGATAGGACTTACCTGCAACGAGAATGCAAGCGCATGAAAGGACTTGAAGAAATGGATAACCAAGCTTCTGTTTGAACATAAATGAGTCTAAAAGATATACTGCAGTATGTAATGTCTCAGGAGTCAACTCAAGTTCCATGCAAACATCACAAATCCACTCCAAAAGTAAAGGTCGATAGGCCATATAATTGGCATTCAAAGCTTCCTCTGTTTTCTGCAATGACATCTTCTGTCGTAAGTGTACCTCTCTCAGCTCTATTCTTGTCATACTAAAATAATGTTCTTCTGTTTCTTGATCTAGATTGAATAGCCAAGCTGAGAAGTTGGATTCATTCCTGTTATCTTCAAAAACACTACTGTAGTGTAATGAAAGCAAAGACTCTTCAGAAAGGTTAAGAGAATCTTCTGAATATTCTTCTTCCCCTCTGAACCTTAAATGATTCCGTTTAGGCGATAAAACTCGCGATGTTTCTTGTTGAGGTTTACATAACAATTCATTGCAGTCAAAACTCTCCGTTATCTCAGACATCATACTGGTCTCGGTTTCAATCTCCAGACTTTCTTCGGTTTCTCGCTTACACAGGAGAAGAGAGCACTCCTCAGTGTAAGGCACTGAAGCATGTGAAGTAGTTCGCATAAATATACACTGTAGAGACGGTGTTTGTGATGACAAAGACATAATTCTTACAACACCTTGAAACAAGGAAACACCGAAGTGAACGTTTTTTTGAAAAATGTCTCCAAACGAAAAAGAGCCTAAGATTTGTTAAGAAGATTCAAGCAGAGTTGGTCTCGACTCACAGCCGAAAAACTTTGCAAGCAACGAAAATACAGCTCGCAGATAACGTGAAAGATGGTTACTAGTAAAAGGTCATGTAGATCGTAGGTAACTGTCAAGTCCTGTATAAGTTAGGTGATACTATATAAAGATATTTTAAACTTACAATTAATGAGAGCAGTGGAAGAAGATTTTCCGACTTGATGCCAACAACAAACAAGGAAAACACAAAATAAATAATGAATTCCAATGGTATCAAAAAACAATATCACAAAAGAAAAACAGGTGTCGCTCAACGGCTCAGCTCACAGCAGACACGTTGACATTTCTTTCTCATTGGGAGAGAGAAAATTTGGCGCAACTGGAAAAATGACAGTGTGATTGGCTGAAAAATCTTTATGGGCCAGACACGTGAATATCCCAGACTCTTTCCCGCCAAACGTTGGATCTGAGACACGACAAATCATTGTGGAACAATCTGTCCCGTCATAACGGATAGATCCGCCCCTGATTCGAAGGAAATGGAGACACACTTAGTGACGGGATGAACAAGCTATTGTAGCCAGTTGATTTGTCACACTACCACTCAAGACTATCTAAAGCTAGCTTTCAAAGAAGTTTGAGAACAAAAAACATAAGATTTATTATGTTGTAGTCAATTCGCCATTAAACTTTATCCAACTACTTGCGACAAGATGTCTTCCGTCTCTATAAAGTTCGTGTAGATTTCCTTGCCTTGAATGAATTTCTCATTATTAAAGATAGCCTGTGATAGTTTCAAAACCATGTCATTTCATGAGAAAGCTTTTGACTCACTCTGTGTAATGGTATGGTAGACGGAACACCCACAATGTTCATTTCATTTAATGCGCGTTTCATTTTGCGAATAGCCTTAATATGCCCATCACTTTGGATTATTCAAGCGAATGCATCAACTTACCTGATCCCTCGTAGGTCCCCAAACAATCAACTTTCCGATCATGCTGTCGTAATTAGGCGCAATGGTATATCCAGGATATATATGGCTGTCCCAGCGAATTCCTAATCCACCAGGAACAAACAAAGAAGAGACTTGGCCAGGTACAGGCCGAAAATTGTCTTTTGGCTCTTCACAATTGACACGGACTTCGATGGCATGGCCTTTCAAGTTGATATCGGACTATATATCCAATGAATAATAATCACATGACATACAATGAAAACATAGAAAATACTTCCTACCTGTCTATAAGGAAGTGGACGTCCTTCTGCTATTTGTAACTGCAGTTGCACAATATCTATTCCAGTTATTTGTTCTGTAATAGGATGCTCTACTTGAATCCTTGTATTCATTTCCATGAAATAAAACTCTCCAGCTGCTGACAATAAAAACTCCACAGTACCAGCACCACAATAATTGATTGCCTTGGCTGCATTGACTGCAGCCTCTCCCATCTTGGCTCTCAGTTCTTCAGTCATTACTGGACATGGTGCTTCTTCCACTAACTTTTGGTTTCTTCGTTGGATGGAACAATCCCTTTCTCCCAAATGGATTGCATTTCCATACTTATCAGCAAACACTTGTATCTCTACATGACGAGGAGCTTCTACGAATTTTTCCAAATAAAGTTTCCCATTACCAAAGGCCGCTTGTGCTTCTGCTGAACACATTTGATACAGTGAACGCAACTCTTCAGAATTGCGTGCAAGCTTTATTCCTCTTCCACCGCCCCCAGCAGTTGCCTTCAGAAGAACTGGATAACCTATATTTTCAGCTATCCTAACGGCTTCTTCAGCGTCCGACAAAATCCCATTTGAACCCGGAACACAAGGAACGCCGGCGTTCAACATAGTCTCCTTTGCAGTGGACTAGAAAGAATAGATATCAAGAAACCTTGGACAGAATCAAAAACTGTACCTTGTCTCCCATCTTGTCGATGGCAAAAGGTGAGGGTCCGATAAATGTTACGCCCATCTCTTCACAGGAAGAAGAAAAAACAGAGTTTTCACTTAGGAAACCGTACCCGGGATGAACTGCATCGGCACCTGTTGTCAAACATCCTTTTTTAGAAAAAAAAACTGAAAAGTTACAATACACTACCGACCTGTTATCTCCGCGGCTGCGAGAACACTGGTGATGTCCAAATACGACTTCTTACTGGAAGGTTCACCAATACATACAGTTTCATCTGCCAGCGCAACGTGCAAAGCATTTCGATCTGCGGTTGAATATATGGCAACTGTTTCTATACCCATTTCTCGACAACTTCGTATGATCCTTACAGCTATTTCACCTCTATTCGCAACGAGAACCTTCTTGATGGGTTTCACTTTGTACTTTTGCCCTTTCTCAACTAGTTTCTCTTTCAAAGCTGAAGAGCTCGACGAAACTATGTGCTGTTCTGTGGCCAAAGAGGTCGAAGGAACGGAAAAATTGGACTGACTTCCATACTCGAGTCTCCAAGACGAGAAAGCATTCCTACAAGTTTCTTTATAGGGAAGAACCTTAAATCTGTGTACAAACGAATTTCTGAAAGCTGAAAGATTTGACTTTCTCACTTTCAACGAAAAAGTCTCAACAAAAGTAAAACAAGTCATCCAAAGTCAACGGACGTGAAACAAGACGTCACAATAATACAAGTGTGAACGCCATTACAATTGAATTATTCATCGAGAATGACTCATCGACGGCCCTTAATAATGTGTCGTCGTTTAACGGACAGGATTTTTCAATATCACAGGCTTAAGAGCCAACCAAAGATCTTCACTACCCCATCTTTGTTTGAAACTTGTCGGAATAACCGTTACTTCGAAAGGAAAACCTAAAGTAAGAAGCTCACTTTTGATATTTTGTACCACCACATGTTTTGGCTTGTTACATTTGTCCATTTTGGTCAATACCGCATAATAACGTTCCAAAACATTTGTGGTCAACAAAAATTCAATAAAGTAACGATCTTCTTGACAAATGCCTTGAGTTCCATCGATCAAATGAAACAAAACTTGCAAGCATTTCCTTTGTTCTAAATAGTCTCTTATCCAATCCACCCATTTATCTCTCATTTCCTTGGAAACTCGAGCATAACCGTATCCAGGAAGGTCAACCATGAAAAACTTTCCATCTTCTTGGCTTCTATTCACAATAAAATAATTTAGTTGTTGGGTTTTACCCGGAGTCTTGCTCGTATAGGCAATAGAATAGTTGTTCACAAGAAGATTGAGCAATGAACTCTTACCAACATTGCTTTTTCCAACAAATGCCACTTCAGGCAAAGGTTTCGGTAAGGTTTCCATGGAAACAGCACCCGTGACAAAATGAATCTCTTTTATGAATGCTCCTGCTAGTAAAGTATTGGTATCTGAATCGGACACAACGTTGCAACGTTTCTTCATTTCGATAGTAGCATAGAGGCCTTCCAATGACTTTGCCTTACTGTAGATTGTCAATAACTTATTCACTGAAGCTATGTTCACCCATTCTTTCACTTGTTCTAAACAACGAACGTGTGCTAGAGACTGTATGACATTTCCATGTTGAACATAATAATTGGCAAGCTCCACACAAACTTGAACCACTACTGAAAGCTTCTTATCATCAACTGAATCAGTCAACTTGTCTTTCAAAACAACTTGAACCCAATCTTCCAGCTCCTTCAGTATTTGTTCCATAAGAGTCCTATGTTTTTGGCTGTCTACGGTTTTCCATATAGATAACAGAAGTGTAGGATCACCAGTCGACAAGCTATTTTTTTCACTTCGAAAAACTTCATAAAGCGCATGTCCCAAATCAGCTCTACCTGCCGAGGATAGCTTCTTGATAAATCTTCTTTTCGACTGCTCTTCCAGCTCTTTGCCAGTTGAAATCTAAAAAAGTGAAAATTTTCCAACAGCAATATACTGAAATGCACTTACATAATTCAGCACCATATCATATGCTTTTCTTGTAGCCTTTTGCTTCAATAGCTCCAAGAATCGTTGTTCCAGTCTTTCCTTTGTTTCTGGTGGTGAATGCTGAGTAGAACTGGTACACAGAAATTTGTTACAATACTTGAAATCAGCTATGGGCCAACTACTCGCGTTATTACGAGTGCTGTATTGTTTGTGCAACACTCCACGATGAAAGTGTAGCTTTCTTGTTGAAGGCTGCCATACAAAAGGCTTCCACGCAAAACAGATCGTCTCAGGTCGAAATATGACCCTCAAAACTCCCATATCCCGATAATCCCAAAAGCCAAACAAAAGTAATCCTACTAATATCAAAAACAACCAAATGACGTTTTGGATATAAAAGCGAAAAGAATACAACAATCACCCATCGGATTGCGGAAGGAATTGCTGACTGACAAGAATGACTGCGAGTCGTCGAAAGCAAGCTGTTGGTGAACCCTATTTATTGGAGTTTCACGGGACTGAATGTGACCACTGTGTAGATATGTTACCTCTTGTTCATAAGATAGAGAAAGAGTTAGGTGTGACTATGTTAAAGTTGGAGGTAAGTGTCTTGACTTGACAAACTCCAATCTGAAAAGAGTGTCGTTATAGGTGTGGCACAATCCGAGAAACAATCGTCTCTTACAAAAATTAGACAGCTCTTCGGTCTGTGGCGGTGTTCCTTTTTTTTACAATAGAATTAGTAGACAGTTCATCTGTGGTGCTACTACCTACAAAAACTTACTTTCGTGGGCCAAATCCGAAGGCTGTGCCCCCTTCCTTCCACCAGAGACAGCTCAAGGACAAGAAGAAGATCGTTCGAAAAGTGCTTTTGAAAGATTGCGCTCAAAGGGAATGGAAAGATTGCAAGAAAGATCGAAGCCTATCGCTCCAGGAGGCTCCAAACCTGATTCCACAAAGTCTCAGAGTACGGACAGCTCAGGAAGTAAAGAAAGTGGTTTTCTCGGTGTTCCATTTTTTTTGACTCCAAAGAAGAACAAGAAGAGCCTTCCCTGGTATGTTTGTCCCAGAACAAAACCATAAGGGGAATTATGTTGTTGATTTCGAAATACATATGGTCTCAAGGTTATCTTGAAAGTTTTGGATAACATAAAAAGTTGGGTTTTCATTTTGAAAAGTATTGTTAGAACAGTTATAGAAATGATCAACGCTGCAACTCGGGATTACCAGCATAATGAATCGTTTCAAGTAGTGGCATTTGCCAAATGCCTCAAACACAACTGTAAACGATTTTGAATACAATACTATCACTATATTACTTACTCGAAGGTAGCTGTATCAAATTGTTGTCTGATATATCAAGAATGACAAGGTTTTGCAAGTTGGATATTTCTTCAGGTAAATATCGCAGGCAATTTCGAGATAAATCCAGCACTCTCAGTTTCTTCAAACAGCAAAGCGTTGAAGGAAATACTTGCAATCTATTATCTTGTAAATATAGGTGTGTGATACTTTCTGAGAATAACTTGATAGAGTCTGGAAGGGTCGATAAATGGTTTCCTTGCAAATGGAAGCAAAAACAAGGACAAGCCATTTTCCATAGATAAGTAAGCAACATCTCCAAAGTAGTACATGTTAAGTGAAGAAAGCTCATATTTGCTATACCTTCCATTCTGCAAACACTATTCTCTAACTGAGCTATTGCCAATTCCAATGATACTTCAGTCGTCCCTGTTCCTTGCAAACTGGACTCAGTCGTGGAAGTTGACCTATCATGGCTTTCTTGAAAAGTTTGAGAATCCTTTATATCTTCTACAAAAGACTGCATTTGTATATTTTCTGCTGCGGAACTATTGTTTTCTTCCAACAGCGCTGACTCACAGTGCTGTTTGGTTTTCAGTTGCGACTTGGCTATACGATTTTCCAGATTGGGTTGTACTTGAGTTGAGTGGGTATCTGTCGAAGAATTCTGAACTTCTGACTCTAAAGTAGAATTGGAACAAGACTTATCATCTATTCTAGTGATACTAGTAGCAACCAAACTTTCTTCTTGCGACAGAGGTTGAGAAGAAGAGTCTACTGGTACAAACATAAGCTTTCTAGTATCAACTTGATTGGTTCTCTTCCTTTTCTGCTTGCACAGTTTAGATTGTTTGTTGCCAAAGTCGTCAACAGTTGGTAAAGTCTCTTTAGAAACTGACTCTTTCATGGCGCGCAACATTGTTTTCCAAAAACAAATTTAATCAGCAATATTCAAAATAATTTTATTATCAAAAAGTGTCTTACAACGGCGTAGCTGAGGCACAACTCTGATAGTTATTTCCTATCTGCTGCTTCTTACTTTCCGTAGCTTCCTTGTCCATAGGGAAAAAAGGAGGTTTCCCTCTGAGACCCAAAGTCTGGAACAATATCTGATCTTGTGCAAATTCGTTATTTGGAGTGGTTAAAAGTCTTTCGCCAGTAAAAATACTATTTGCTCCAGAAAGGAAACACAAGGCTTGCTCAGCAGGACTTAGAGAAATTCGACCAGCACTTAAGCGAACCATAGAAGACGGCATAAGAATGCGAGCTGAAGCAATCATTCGACACATTTCCCAAACAGAAACCGGCTTCATATCTTCTAACGGAGTTCCTTTGGTTGCAACCAAAGCATTAACTGGAACCGACTCAGGATGCTTCGGCATAGTTGCCAAAGTATGCAATAAACTTATGCGATCCTCGTCTGTTTCTCCCAAACCTAAAATGCCTCCACAACAAACAGAAATACCAGCATCTCTAACACTTTGCAACGTATTGAGGCGATCTTCAAAGGTTCTCGTAGATATAACCTTAGGATAAAACTCTCTACTTGTATCCAGATTATGATTGTACGCCGTGAGACCCGCTTCTTTTAGCTTCAAAGCTTGGTCTTTGGTAAGTAAACCAAGAGTGGCGCATACTTCCAAGCCCATGGAACGAATTTCACCTATTACGTCTAAAATACGTTCAAACTGACGATTTCCTACTTGAGAAACTCCTCTCCACGCAGCACCCAGACAAAAGCGAGTGCTTCCAGATTCCTTTGCTTGTTTAGCAGCTTGTAAAATTTCTTGTTTCTGCATCAACGGCTCTGCTTTCACAAAAGTCTTGTGATGACTTGATTGTGAGCAATACTTGCAGTCTTCAGGACATCCACCTGACTTAATGCTCAACAAGGTACACTGTTGTACTTGAGTAGAATCAAAATACTGGCGATGTACAGTGGCAGCTTGATAGATCAACTCTAAAAGTGGCTGACAGTATACATTTTCAACTTGTTCAAGTGTCCAGTCCGAACGAATAGGAAAAGATTCGGAGGTCTGGGCTCCACTGGGTTGTGCCAGAACGCTGCTGAAACGAGTGAATTGTCTTAGTGTCAACAATCGTCGAGCTGTCTCTATCACGTCATCAAGTCTGTTTTCATGAAAAACTTTACAAGTACTTACCCAACATTGTGCAACTCGAACTTATTACCTTGTGTGCTTTGTTTTCCACAAAGTAACACACAAACTATCCGCGCCAAAACGACAAATGGATTTAGATTATACTCGAAAGGAATTGTAATATTTCTACCTAATGCAGTCTTCTCTTCTTTGGAGTTTTTCAAGTGCAAGAGCAAAAATTTTCTTTGCACACTCTTTTGAAGGACACTTGGAGTATCCGAAACTTGGAAAAAAGAAGTGTAAGAAAAAACGCAGTTTTAGAGGAGTTTCTTCTCTCTTATCAACACGTCAGTTGGAAGTGGGGTTGTCAGAGGTGTCGACTCGTTCGACAAAGCTGGGAGACGATAATTATAAGGCATTTGTTTATAATAATCCAACTTGTCATATTTCGAAGGAAGAATTGGTGTATTCTGGCTCCACAAATTCTCGAAACAAACTATGGGCAAGTTGTACAAGGTTTTTGAATTCAAATAGATGCTTGAAGTGTCGCAAGTGTTCTACATGTTTTCTTCAGTTGAAGGCGTGTTGGTGGAAAAAGAATCAAAGTCTATCTTCTTGTTTGAAACGTGGGATGTCGAGTTGCTTTTGGCAACAAGGTTTTTCGTATTGTGTTTTTCGATCATTCGAAGGTCGTAAAACTTGTTATGGCAGACTTTCACCTCCACTCAGAAATAGTGAACGAAAGATTTGTTTTGGTCCGGGTTTTGTTCGAGAATCCAATGTTTCCGTTCCTTCTCGTTGTCACCAACTATGTTATCTTTTCAATCCGTACACCAACAAAGATGTATGTACTGGCAAGTTGTTTCCTTTGATGTATGCGGTATACATGTCACAATATCATGCGCATACTTCTAATCACAACTGGAAAGAAGACGGAAGATATTACAGTCATTTTACATCGAAAGACAAAGACTCTTCGCATCACCACACAGTTTTAACGAATCAAGTCAATTCATTTCATGGTTTGTCTTCACCTTGTGAGAAAATTCGACGTCTTGCAGTCATTTCTGACATTCATGTCTTTGATGTAGATGGATTTTGGAACGAAAATGTCTTGGAATTTTTTAATCTTAGAATCCTAGGACTATTGAATATTCTCTTTTTAAGAGGGCCAGAAAGATTTTCTGTGCAAGTTCTAGCCAAAGCCATTGAAGATATGCATGAAATGAGAGTGGATCATCTCATATTAGCAGGAGACATCACTAATCTGAGTTTGGAAAGCGAATTTGCTACTGCATTTAAAGTGGTTCGACTTTTTGGTCCGCCAAGTAGTATCACAGCCATTCCAGGAAACCACGATGTTTATAATCGAGGTGAATTGAAACGAAAGTTATTCCAAAAGTATTTTGGTTCCTATGCAGTATCCGATGTCCTCGGCACCTCCCCTCGAGGAGATGGTTTCCCTATTATTCAGATGAGAGGAAATGTGGCTCTCATTGGTTTGAATACTGCTTTACCAGGAAGTGCTCGGGGAATGGTTGGTAGAAGACAGTGGCATGCGTTAGAAGAAATGATGGAAAGAGCATCACATATCCTAAACAACGTCGATATGAAAATTCTAGTTCTCCACCATCCAGCACAAAATCCTATGATCCGAGGTCTACCTTGGATCCGCGAAATTGGACATGACCTCAAGGATTGGAAATCCGTCGCAAAGTTTTGTAGAAAGTATTCCATTGACTTGGTAGTACATGGACATAATCATGTTCCTTATCAAGGTGTGTTGGATGGTTCACCTCAAACTTTGGTTTGTGAAAGTGGTTCGGGCACCTTGATGACTTATCAAGAAGACCGAGTTGCACGTTATACAATATTTGAATTGAACGAAAAAGGGGTATTGGAGCGTTCCTTTGCTCGGGTTTGGGATATGGAAGGAGAATGTTTCCAAACCAAAGAATTAATTCTTCCTCCCATAGAAAAGCAAAAGAGTGTTCCTTTTGCTGCAACTTGACCATTTTGTATAAAGTTGCGCAAATAACATATGTCATTTTATTCTTTGTACAATTCTTTCACTCTCCTATGTACAACACCCAAATAAGAAACATTTCAAACACTTTCATGAGATGACAACGAAGATCCAACAGAAGAACTATACGACTGCAACCGTAACAAAGAAGAATTGCGTTGTTTTCTAGATAAAACATCTTCTTCAAACTCAAACCCTAAAATGCACCCATGAGAATGACACTTGGATGAATTAACACCAAACAACGGCTTCAAAATATGGCCAAAGCCTCGAAAACCACTTCGGTGCCTTGTAATATTCCATTCATCAGAAGTTGAACTCGTCGAATGCTGATCAAATACTGGAGTAATGGAACGCTTTGCTAAATATTCCATATCAAAATTGCGCAGATAGTAATGAGTATCTTCGGGTCCATTGTGACCTCGTGATTCCTTTTCTAACTTTTCTTCCCCCCATATATTCACATAGTGACCCTGGAGACCAGCTTGCATAATATCATTCCAATTTATATCCGCAAAAAATGGATGCTTCTTAATCTCACCAATACCTTCAGAACAACAACCTAATCTTTGTAAAGGATCCCTTTCTAGCAAGCCATTAAGTAATGAACGAGCCTCCTCTGAGATATCCTTTGGAAATGAAAGAGACATTCCTTTGATACGTCGGTACATCTCTGAACGATTCTTATGATAAAAAAGAGACTTGCCACATAACATATCACCCAATAACACACCAAATGACCAAATATCCACAGAAAATCCATAACTCTCACACTTTAACATTTCAGGAGAAATAAAGGCTCTCGTTCCACAAAAGGAATTGGTTCGACAGTTGGAAAGACTACTCAAGTGTCTACAAAGACCAAAGTCTGCCAAACGAATATGGCCATTCTTATCAATAAGAATATTTTCTGGTTTTAAATCTCGGTAAACAAAGCCATTTTGGTGAATCTCTTCCAAACCAAGTAGTATTTCTGCAGCGATTCTTTTGACTTGATGTTCAGGAACTTTTCTGCGATGATGATGTAAATAATAAAACAAATCACCTCCATCACAAAACTCTGTGACCAAATAGAACTTTTCTTTTGTCTGGAAAGCTGCACGTAAACCTAAAATAAACGGATGTTTTCCAGCCAACTGCAGTAGTAGTCGTTCATCTGTGAGATGTCTTGATGTACTGGAAGCGCCAAACACCTTTGACTTGTCTATGACTTTGATAGCTGCAAGCTGTCCGTTCAATTTTGACTTGGCAAAATAAACTGATCCTGACGCGCCTTTTCCAACTGGTGCAATGAAGTCATAATCTTCCACAGAAGCTAATCTGGAACTGGCAATTCTCGAGATAATACGAAACAGTGCCGATGCTTCATCTGTATGAATATAAACTCTTCCACTATGCAAAATAAGAGCACCGTCAGCAGCAAATTGGTCTTCCTTATCCATTATCACGGAAGTATTTTCTGATATATCTTCGCTTTCACAATTTTGCGTCGAAATTTTTACTCTCAGAGTATGACCATTGATAAGTTTTACTTTTGCTCCAATCAAAGGAAAAGCAACTCTTATTCGAAGAGAGTCTGTCTTCCGAAAGGGAGGTGACTGTGACTCGGGTAGCGTTTCCAAACTATCTGCCTCAACTGTCCCAGAGCTTTCTTCTGAAGAACACGACTCTGTTGACTCAACGCTGCTATGCTTATCTGCCAACGTCTTTGATGAAGACAAGTTTTCAGCTGCTTGACGAATGACCAGCCATCTTTCCTTTATTTCCAGTAAACCCTGTCTCCAGGAGAACGCTGGGAATAAAGGTGATTTTTTCACTTGATACGTAACAGGAACAGGATGGTATTGTGAAGGAAATCTCCTTAACAAAACCAAAGGGTCCGTGATGGGATCTGTTCCGCCAGAGAGCAGGACTGACTTTTCCGATTTTTCAGTACAACCGGCACACTCTGAGTTATACGGTTTCGTACCATCCACACCAGCTCTTTCTTGAGTTTCTCTCAAAACTTCAAGAGGGCTCTTGATTTTAGGAACATTCATTTGTAAGCTACCTCTTCTAGGCTTGGTAAAAAATAACATTCTTTCAGCTAAAAGTAATTCCACGAGAGCAGAATTTATGACCCCAAATGTCTCATCGGGGAATTGTGAAGAGAACAACACCATTTGGGAATCGAATAAGCAGCGGCCAGACTTCCGAGCATCTTGAGGAACATGGATGGGTGACCAATGGACAGATGAAGAGGTTTTCCTTGTCCACCTCAATGGCATGTTTGATACTTGGCTTTAAGAGGAAGAGACTTGTTCAACGAAAGCAACGTCTAATTTACTCGAAAAATATAAACTCAGTGTGCAATCCAGTGAACGATTGGAGAGTAATTTGAACTTTGTGAGTGTGACACTACGCTGGGATAACACGAAGATGAGTTTCGCAGATCCACGTTTGCCTTTGGTGATACTTAAAGGGCCAAGCATTCTTCGTGATATATATATATATGAGATAGCACCGACCTTTCGTTAATTTTAATCAGGGTTTTTATAGAATAGCAAAGAGGCAGCTGTGCTTGACAAAGTGTACAAACACGGAGAAGCTTGTTTTACAACATGTTGTGAGTTCAACTCAGGAAGAGAATGATGCCAATCCAAAAGCGAACATGATACGAATCATTCATCTTCTCTATCTTTGTGAATCAGAAAATAGCAATCCAAAATGTTTGTATAAACGATTTCCACTTCCCAGTTTCATCCAGAGGAGAAGCAACTAGAACTAATGGGAACCTAGTCGCCATAGAATATCAATTTCTATTCATTTACTTTATTTCCACGCAAAGTTCAAAACTTGAAGTATCCCGTCTGGTCACACTTTTTATTTCCTTGCCGTTTTACTTTTGACGTTTAGAAAACCGAAAAAACCATTTCAACCTGCTTTTGATAAATTCTTACTCATATATGAACATGCGACAATATCAATATAAAGCAAAGATCATTACTTGGCAGTTTCAACACTCGCATGGGTAACACAATAATTTTTCACTTTTTCTGCAACTTGTTGAAAACATGCTGCTTCTTCACTACCTGGGTTATCTTTGGTAATGGGTACGCCTCTGTCACAAGTCTCTCGAATACAAGTACGAAGTGGAATGGCACCTAACATCGAAACACCTAAGACTTGACAGGTCATTTCAACCCCTCGTTCACCAAAGATAGGTTCTCTATGACCACACTGGGAACAGATAAAGTAACTCATATTTTCTACAATGCCAATAATAGGAACATTCACACGTCGAAACATATCCACACCTCGCTTGGCATCAATAAGAGCAATATCTTGTGGAGTTGAAACAATAACAGCACCTGATTGGGTCGTCACACAAAGTAAGCTTATTGTAGAGCAATACACTTGCCTGTGATTCGAACACGCTGGGATATACTCAACTGTGCATCCCCGGTTCCTGGAGGAAGATCTATAACGAGGAAATCCATAAGACTCCACTTCACTTTATACAACATTTGTTCAATTGCACTCCCAACCATTGGACCTCTCCAAACAAAAGCTCGTTCTTGTTGTTCCTCCGGAATAAGAAAGCCCATGGACATTACTTGAAGTCCGTACTTTTGTTTCGGTAACATAACAGAAGAATTTTCACTAGAATCCAACTCTGGCTTTCCTTTCAAGGCTAACAAGTAAGGAATGGAAGGACCATAAACATCGGCATCAAGAACACCTACTGAGAAACCAATAGACTGCAATGCAATAGCTAGGTTGATTGAAACGGTAGATTTACCAACTCCACCTTTCCCTGAAGCTACAGCAACGACATACTGGAGATGAGTAAGCTTTCAGTAACCACTCTACTAGACAACATACTTTAGCGAAGGGAAGTTTCTTCGGAGCAAAGGGAGATTTTCCACCGACAAAAGGTGACGAGTGACTTGACTTGACAAACTTTAGCCCTGTATTGAGTATTCCTCTTCTAAGTGGGACCCCATTTGTCACGAATACTTTTGCACAATGCATCATCGACAAGATATCAGTCAAATACAATTCATTATTTTGAACGAAAAGATAATTTAAGGTTTTGTCAGAGCTGACCTTTTCTATTTGATATTTGCTACTGAAGCTTGGGTATTGAGTTGGAAGAGTGAAACACAATTTCTGTTCTATAAAACAGTTCTGTTCATCATTATTTCAAGTCATAATATCAAAAAGTGCGTGCATTTTTGAAGCTTTTCCAGATTGCAACTGATTGGGTCATTCATTCCGGTTTGCTCTCTGTCTATGACAACTCCACTAGAAACAAAGGAAAGCACAGAAGAAAAATTCTGTAGAATATGCCACGATACTGATCCTTATGAGCTTATTAAACCTTGTGACTGCACGGGTACGTTGGCATATGTCCACAGGGAGTGTCTCCAGGTAGGTAAAGGATAGATACTATAAACTGTGCCCAACTCCTTGTGTTAGAGATGGTTGCAACAAGTTTCTGAATACAAGTGCGAAATATGTGGCAAGCAGTACCGTTGTAAAAAGAAAACACGCTCGTTACTGAGTTTCCTGTTTCGCAGAGGAGCTTGGCGTGAATGGCTGCACTTGGGTTATGTTACCTTTTTTGTCAATAGGCAGGTGCTTTCAAATATGAATCTATTTCGTTGGAATAACCGCCTTTTGTAGAATTTGGAGCCAAACTGGAGTTCTTTTGCAAATTCTGAAGCTAAAACAACTTAGATTTAAGGAAAAGTGCATCACTTGTTTCGTTTATTCTTTCGTTGCAGCACACTACTTGGCTTTTGCCTTGTTAGATATGAGAGCAGTGTGCAAAAGTTTCGCTATTTGGAGGCGAAAAACAGCAAAAATTGTTGTTATAAGTAATAACGAAGAAGAAGGAACTGTATAGTTTCACAACATTCTTTTATCACGTGAGATTGTACATAGAATAAACGATTCATGTTTTTTCGTCTAATACAACTTTTGGGTCATCAGGAACAAGTTGTCTCTCCATCAGTTAATACGAAGCCGAGCTTTTTCGAACTGCTAACATAACACACTACTGGGGTTCCTCCAAACCTAGGCGCTGTGCTGTCGTTTGTCTATTTCTATCTTCTCGTACCACTCCACTCCGCAAATACCGCTTACCTAACGGTTTCTCTGTCTTTGTCTTATTTTTTTCTATCCTTTCAATCAACTCCAAGTCAAGCTGTGAGAGTTGTATTTTAGTTGGGTCTCTTGGAAGCATCGACTCCAGAAAAATGCACAATTTAGCGCCATTTTTGAGATGAATGATCCACTCATTTAATCAGCTTCATTGCATGGAAACTCTTTGTGAGTTGCTTCATGGAGATAGCCTGAAAAAGGAAGTTTATTTGGAAGAAAATCTTTGTTTAAGATGCACAAATGCTATACTCCAAAGCAAAGAGTTCCTTTCCTGTCAGAAACTCGAAGTATTGCAAATGTTGAACAAGGTAACAAACAAATACGTTGTATCAAGCCGCAGAAAGCAATGGTTCAAAAAAAAATATTAGGACATCGAAGAAAGTGATAATTTGGAAGAGTTGTTGAGAGAAGAAACCGAGGTATTCTTTCAAATAGTAGACTCATTGGGATCATGTCTTTCAAGTAGTGACTTAACTATGATGGCCGAAACTGATTTCTCAGAAACTGACTTGTGGTTTGAAAATATTTGTTTTTGTTTAAACAATATTATATGCAAAATGCATCGCATATTGGGAAAAAAACAAACTGAGAGTTGCATCGACTTGTTGTTGACACATGTAGAACCAAAAGAATGTGAGCAAAGCAGCTTGATGGACAATGAATGTTACCCTCAGGGTTACAAGATCATTTTCTTGCTGTTGTTCCTGATGAAAAAAGATGATCAGAAGGACGCAGATATATACAATATTACAGCATTAGAGCTTCTGAAAAACAAAAAGGCAGTCAGTCTCATCGTCAATCTCATTTGTTACAGTAACATCCCGAATATTCGTCTGGTAGCAGCGAGCCTCATATTGCAATGTTTACAAATAGTTTGCTTCCAGGAGAGCACAAACGCTGGGTTTACGGGTTACCACACAAATAGTCGACGTTTCGTCCATTTCTCGGCGGAGATTCTGCCAGAAGGTTTTGAGAAAATCTTAGAAATAGAACCAGACTTGAGGAGTCCTGTTTTCCAGGAATATTTAGTTGGGGTTATTTTCTGCCTCATTCGTTGCGGATATCCAAATTTCCAGGCCACAATTGATAAAGTAATTCTATTCTTGCAGTTGAGATGTCTGTTTCCAGATATTCGGGTAAGGGTTCTCGTTGTGGACACACTTGAGTGTTTGTTAGAAAGAGTCGATTGGACTGGCATAATTCAATATGTCTTTATCACTGGAATGCCGGAATACCTTCTTGAGTCTATCAAAACGGCATTTCAAATGAAATTAGAAACTGATGCTGATTTTGATTGCGTCGCATCCTGTTTCGAAGGAACATTCGACATTATGCAAAAGCTGCTGCAACTCGGAGAAACTAGAGAAACTAGGTCTTCATTTATATTTCAATCCATTGTTCAAGGCATGGTGTTCTTTCTCAAGTTCATCAAAGGAAAGAAGCAATTTGAAAATTCCCATCAAACAAATCAAGTATTACTATCATTCTTCAGCTTAACTCATACGCTTTTTGAAGAAAGTACATTTGCATCAGAAACAGAGTCAACCAACTCTATCTGTGCTCAGGGACTCATTTCATTGAAATTTTTCAATCCGTTTCTTGATTTCCTTAATAACGATGATATGTTTGAAGAAGAAATGGCGTTTCTTATGGTAGAAATGACAAAAGATAGATCTTCTTGCTTGAAAGAGCAACTTGAACTGCTAGTACAAATGAACACAAAGTTAAAATCGAGAGCTTGTGTATTAAGTGTCGCTTATACAGTGCTCTGTAATATCATTCGAACCACCGAAGAAGAAAGGCCAACAAATTATATCGAAACATTTCACCGAATACTGACTCCTCAGTTGACTGAATACAATGTGGAGAATTTGGAAAGCAAAGTTAGTCACTTTTACTCAAGTATTGTACGAATAATCAAAAAATTTTTTAGAGACAAATAGAAGATTTACTTATTTACTTGCGGATAGTCAACGATTTTCTGGTACCTACATTTTGGAAGGGACAAACTGGTGAAAAATTAATCACAACAAGCAAAAAGATATGGAAAAATTTTCATCCTGCTCGACTCTTCTCATTCTTTCAAACATGTGTGAAAACTGGTAAGATGAGCAAACCATATTTGAAAACTAAATGAAGCCCCTTTGTTAGAAAACAAGACCCAGCTATCCAACAATTTTCGAGCATTCATTGCTAGGTTATTAGCTGTACTAGAGTCTGAAGTAAATCTCAGTGAAGCAATCACTCTTTTACCCTTAAGTGATGTGGAATTATGCAACAGCTTACAGCAGATTTCCGATGCAAGCTTTGTTTCTTTTAAGTTAATACTGTTAGATCATTCCATTCGGCGTGAATGGGCACTTGACTTCAGAAAGCTCTGTTATTGCTTAGAAAGCATTTCGGATAAGCTTCCCGAGAAGGACTCCATACAAAATGTCCAATTGGCGGAGTTGGTTGCCCAAGTCTGGGTAATTATTTGTAGAGAAACGGCTTGCGCGGACTGTGAAACAATATCTCGAACCATCAAGTGCACAAGACAACTACATATCTCCAAGGAATTCATTTCTTTTTCTTCAAACATTTACCAAAGGA